GCGCAGCGGATTGCTCGACGTATTGTCGGGCGGTGCGACAGATGTTCGGTGAGTGGACACGTCCGTTCACCTCAGCAGTCTGTAGCGGAGTACATATACTTCACGTTTCCTTTTTTATTTATATTCTGAGAACAGAAACGATGGTTTTAAAAAGGCGCAAAAGCAGTAAAGAAAGATCTTTGTTCTCTCTCCCGATGGTAACTCTGGAACTATTGTTATAAAATCTTAATTGAAATCTAAGGATTGAACGGAACGTGACTGGACCTTTAATACGTTTGTTATAGACCTTTCGTTTGTAAAATAAACACTAAAAGGCCATTGAAACGGATAACATGACTTTACTATTACCAATGTAACAACATTTTGCAGTTAATTTTCTTTGAATTCAAACTGTTACTTAGTTCTTGAGAAACGTACTGACCTTATGTATGCGAGACTCGCAGTTCCCTTGCGGCTTAATCGGCATAAAAACTTCATTTCATTGTTTACATCTATCAAATTCTCATTGCAAATATCAAAATTACCGTGACCATAATAACCTTGGTTCCTTAACGTTGGCAGCTTGTAGTTTATGGGCCCTTTTCCGAACGAAAGGTTGTTTGTTTTCAATTAAATTTCCCCCCAAACTTTAATAGCGTGAATATATGAAGCTTCTGTGATTGTTGACATCCTACGCCATGAAGTAGTGTGTTTACGCGTTATTACATTAATTTAAAAGTATAGATAACGTAACAAAGTTACACGGTGACCATTATTGCAGTCAAAACATGTTTAGGGAAACAAGCCAGCATCAGGCTGCTCTATGCAAATAGTACAGTGCAATTACACAACGCCTAATGCCTATCAGTACCTTTACAGCAATGGCCTTGTAGGTCAAAGCTTGAGTATTAGAAGTCGATAATATAAAATTTGGTCATTGCAAATACAACCTCTTTGGCTGACAAGTGTGAACAGCCAAAGAGGTTGCATACTGGCCACCAAGAGATTGCATGGTTTGACTCTAAAAGAAAAGATGATGAAATTAAGAAAAGAAAAAGAAGTGCACAAGAAGAAAGATGTGATCGCGATAGTTTGAAAGTTATTCATTGTAAAAAGTTATGTTGATTTCGTTCGAGAAAAGTTCGTTTTGTATTTTTGGCTGCGCTATCGGTAACAAGTTAAACAAAATTAAAAAGTGAACTATAACCACCGCACAGCTACGATATCATAAATGTTCTAAGCATCAAGGACTCGTGAGGAATTTCAAATAGTTCTGCGAAAGGTACTTCAGTTTATTAGGTCACGATCTACTTTGATGTAAATTTCTCAACTATTTTAACATTTCGGAAACTTAGTCTGTTCGACTTTATGTGAGGACGTGGAATTTTCAAAGCATACGCTATATAAAATATGTGTACATAGTACTCATAGTACAAAAATTAATACACCTTGACCTATTCATTTTTTTGTGAACTAGTGGCCGTCTGCGACTTTGTCAGTCAATAATTAAAACGTTTCGTTGAAATAGGTCCATCCTTTCCAGAGATTTCTGGTAACAGACGTACATATAAATATAGACGACAGACATAAATACAATTTTTCATCAATCTATACTAATATAATAAAACTTAAACACACACTACTTAGTTTCGTCATTAGCATGTCAGCAATCATGGCATATTTTTGGATAATTGTTTTTTTTTTTAATAAAAAGCCCTGTACTTACAACACGCTTTATGCTATGTATTTTCAAGCTGTTAAACCTAAAGAGTAAATAATTTCGAAAAAACCGTCATGTGAGAAAGGGACAAAAACAACCTGACAACATCCTGGAAGAAAGGTTACCATGGTAACGGTAATTGTTATCTAATCTCAAAGGCCTTCGTTTTCATTTGTGCATTTCATGAATGTAAACAACTAGCTGTTGCTCGCAACTTCGCCCGCGTGAAAATAAAAAATAATTCAAAATGTATGTTACTCGCCGATAAATTACCTTTTTTGTTATGAAAGGATTTTCGAAATCAGCCCAGTAGTTTTTACGTGAAACGTACATACAAAAATACAAATCTTTTATCTTCATAATGTTAGGAATAAAATTAGTACCGTGCTATAGGATTGGCGCAACTCTAGATTATCGGCATAAACGGCACGTCCCTAGCTGACAGCTGTCAATGTCACTAGAAGTATGGATAGATTGGCGCGTAACTTGAGTCTTGACGAGAAGTATTGCTCTGAGTTAAAAGCGACAATATCAATTAAATAAGTTGTCTAATAATAATATTAGTATAGATAGAATAAAGTTTTTATAATTTCATTCGGATGAAGCCGAACAGAAACAGCCGATATTACATATAGATAGTTTTATTATATCGAGGAATGATACCCTATATCTCAGTAAAGCCTTTTAATACAATACAAACGCTTCACAGTTTATTCGAGGCTATTGTTTCTTAGCGCCGATAGTATCTGAAGGGAAAGATTGGAATGAATAAAAGATGAAATCGCGAGAGAGGATCGGATTTCTGATACCAACGTACAACGTGATATATGAATAGAATAATATTGAGATAGAAAGTACACGAAATAAGTGAATTCCGATATGAAGGCTAGAAATGTATGGAAGAACAGCACATACTGTGCCGACACTAGAGGGACGGCATGTTGATGATAACACGAAAATGTTGTTAAAATAAATTATTTTACTATTTTCTAAATGTTGCTTTCGACTTCGTGCGATTGAAATTAACAAATGTAGCCTATGTTACTCAGAGACAACGTAGCTTTTTAATGGTTAATATAATTGGTTTTTGAGTTATAACAATAAATACAAAAAAGTCTTTTCTTTTTTATAACATTAGTATAAATATAGATTATTTTTTGCGTCGTCTATAATATCAAGCATCTGTCAAAAGTTTAAACAGGTGTTCAGTTAAACACGTATTATCTTTGATATGCTTGGTTAAACAGTGTCTGACTATAATACACGCGCATTCATAGTAAACAATAAGTCGGTGAAAGTCCCCTATGTGTCCCTTTTTCCGCCTACCATTCTCACCATCTCGATGGCTGGCATTCGACAACCATGCGGTTTTCGCGGAACTTTCTGCCCCGCACAGCCGCGTTGTGGAACGGTTTGTCCTCGGCGGTATTTACAACCAAATACGACTTAGAGTCCTTCAAGAAGCGAGCCTATCATTTCCTCAAAGGCCGGCAACGCATCTGTAATTTCTCTGGTGTTGCGGATGTCCATGGGCGTCGTTGACCACCTCGGTCTTCACGTCACTCATTTGCCACCTTTTATTATAAAAAAATGTGTACTTAGTAATTAGCCGATAGCAATAATAAAACAGTTAATTTTTAAATGCATTCAAAAGAATAATTTAAAATTGGTACTGTCCCGTGATAATATGCTGATATACAAAATATATCTATAGAAAGGATACAAAAGTCCCCGGTTCTAAATATATCTGGTGCGTCACAGCGGTTAGTGTTCAACAAACAGGAGCCATGAGTACAGACAGCAGAGAAATAAATGAATGAAATACTGATTTTTAACGTAGTAGTAATTCATATAACCAATAACTCACAAAACATTTTCTTAAAGAAAGTAAAGAAACGACACGGTATTTTGTATGGAAGAAATCTAATCCATAAGCCGTGTCTATTATAATCCATTTAACTTAAATCTTTAATTGAAACTAAATAAATGTCTCGATAGTTTGGATAAATTATACAGACGTTAAAAACCTAATAATTGACTGAATTCTAGCTTTCGTCCGCGACTCTGTTTATTTGAAATAAAAAAAAACAAAAGCAAGTAAATTTAGAAGCCTAATTTCCGTGATGCATTCAGTTTAGTCTAAAAATTCTAACAAACATCCATCCATATATACGTTCGAATTAATAATATTAAAAATATGTCGCCATATTCTTTTTGCTGACTATCCCTTACGGGGATTCCCTCGCGTACTATTCACATGTAACCTATAAAAGTCAGATTGCATATTCTCCACATTTAGTCGGGTCTAAGTTTTGACAAATATCGTAGTCTTTCAAAACAATTACATTGAAATGCCTCTTGAAGTAAACGGTGTCGAAAATCTTGATAAAAGTAAAGATGTCGGATTATCGTTTACCAAAGGTGGTGTTTTTGGATCAGCTTCAGTGGAAGGGTATAGAGATGGCGGTAATTTACCAAAACACACTGGCCCGTCTTACAGCGCGGCTTCTGCAAGCCTCGGTATTAACAAGTAAGCATCAAATTTATTTTAGTTTTTCCGCTTTTTAATTTCTTATTTAATTGTACAACCGAGGACTTTTGTTCACTACCTATTCCAATTCAACTATGAAATATTGCATTTGTCTCGACTATTTATCATAGTAACATACGCATAACTTTTATAGTGACAGCTTTCTGAATAACATTTGATGAGTGTGCGTAACGGAGGCCTAATTTTAGTCCCTTATCCACCCAACCCAAACGAAAGGATGGGAGGTGGAAGTTGATTTGATATTGTAGGAGATGCATAGGAAGGGGAAATACCCTCTTAACATGCGTCTCATTCTATTTATAATGAGATGTTAAGAATATGATCTTTTGTCAACTGTTTCCTATCTTTGAATTTAAATGAAACAAAGTGTATGTGAGTATATTCAAATACATTGTCAGAGTCGTATAAAACTTCCAGGGATGGCCACAGCGCCGCTGTAACCGCGGCGCACCGGCCAGATTTCGGTAACCAAGTAACCGCAGCTGGTAACCTTAACGTCCTAAACAAAGGTGACCATAAAATCGACGTCAACGCCTTTAGCACGAAGAATTTCCCGATAGGACCAACCCCAAACTACTCTACTCATGGAGCTGGTGTGAATTATCAATACAAGTAAGTTTTTCACTAGTAATAGATTATCCTGCCTTTTCTTCCATTATGGCTGTAATTACTCCAATAGAAATAGACCTAGAAAGAATTGGATAGAATTCGTGAAAGATAACATGACAAAGAAGGAAGTGTGTTATGAAGGAAGATTATCTTAGAAGACGAAAACCTCACGCGGTTTCATGAGAGTAGGATAAGAGCGAGTAGGTAGACATTAGTACAAATAATCTTTTCTTGCTTAACATTAATAAGAAGGTATATTGAAAACGATAAAAAATACTTTAAACTCATCTGAAATCCTAAAGGTACAATAGGGGAATCTGGCAGTGATCCAACTAAAAAACTATAGGCTTTTAAATGTTTCATACACGTAAAGACGACGCGGAACTGTAATCAAAAATACAACTTTTGTGTTAAGTTCCCGGCGTTTGCGCAATTCAATACTGCGTAGGTTGAGTATGTTTCGTTGCAAACAAGTTTTTTTTCTGGTACGCCGCAGATTTTCGCAATTGTACTTCATAGCACAAAACCTTGTTATCGTTAATATGTCGATGTACAATTCAATTGTGTTTTGTTTTTCAGAGACGTCGCTCACGCTGGTGCGTCTGTAGCTCGCATACCAATCGCGCAAAGAACCGATTACTCTATTTCCTCAGGGATGAAGCTTCACCAAACTCCAACATCTTCCTTCAGTATTAACGTTGGTGCTTCGAAGACCAACGCGCCGTATAGCAAAGGCAACTGGGCACCTAATGCTTTTGCCCATTATCGAAGGGATTTTTAAATAATGTTGCCATATATGTCGATACGAACCTTTATTAATCAGTCTTTGTATTTTAAAGGCCGAATACTGAAACGACATTTTAATCTGCAATAGAGTTGTATAATGATGTTAAAACTTCGAATTCTAATGTTTTGGCATTTTTTACGATTGTAAACGGCGCTTACGAAACAAAGTATTAAAAATTCGTGTCAATATTCTGCTTTAAGTAAATAAATATTCAGACAAATGTATTTTTTTAATTCATTTTCGTCCGTGAGATGGCCGTTTTAGAATTAAAATTAAAATGAATTCATCGTTTGTAAAAAAAAGTAATTAAATTCTCCACCGGCCCGATATTTTAATTTGCAATTTCCGTAAAACTCTCGAGTAGTTCGGTAAACGGATAATTAAAAACGCTGCGTCTTCCGTGCCGCGTCTAAGACATTGAATTCTAAAAAAATGCTAATAAAAACCTAAACTTGAAGACTCAATAAACCGCGCAATTGCGTCTCAAGGGTTACAATTCATAAGCTTTTAAATAAAAAACAATCTCTTGTTTCACAGGGCTGCAATATACGCCAATAAATTCCAAGTCACTACTAGTAAGTACCAACTACAAGAAGCTAGTAAAAGGCTTGTAAGTAGCTAGCAGCTTCTTATTATACTAGCTTTTTCCACGCGGCTTCATCCGCATGAAATTATAAAAACTTTAGTTTGTTTTGGACATTTGTGAAATTTGCAATTGCAAATGTCAAAATTCAAATGCACAAATGACATCCATGTCAACCATGACATTTGCAATTGAAAATTTGTGTTAAAAATTTAGTTTATGGTCCCTTTCCCCCACATTAGGGTTTTTTCCAATTTATTTACTCCCTATGTTTAATAGCGTGAAAATATACAGCCTAAAGCGTCTCGTAAATGTAGGGTATTTAATTAAAGAAAGCATTATTCAAAAACATTGCTGATATGGTACGCCACGATGGTTTCACGCTTTTATTACATATTATTACATAGAAGTATAGATATATATTAAATTATGATATCTCTCTAGCCTTTTACGAAATTTCACAATAACAAAATAATAAAAAAAAACTATGTTTGTAAGACATTTAGCGACATAACATTTAACTGACGTTTAAATACCTTAAGTGACTTAAAGGATACCGAGGATTACATGTAACGGTAAGATGATTAGAAGGGTTCCGTCTAGACCCTTATTTTATACCGGAACGAGGAAACTAAGAAGTACATATATGTATTTTAACAATTATACTATATTTACAGAATGGTAATCTTCAAAGTTATGATTTCATATTTGTGTACACGTTAATTTGAATATTATTAACGAAAAATATCAACCGAATTGCTAGACTAATATCCGGCTCGAAGGACCATTGCTACTTCGATAGCAAATTTGTTAAAGGACGTCTAAAAGTTAAAATTTAAAAAAAAATTAACTCAATAACTAAGACATTAGTCTCCAAATAAATCAAGAAATCCTTTTCCTTAACAACATAAATAAAAACTCCACTATTTATTATGGTTCTAGAAATAGCATTCTCGAACCTCAGAAGATAATCCATTTATTCCTTGAAAACTCTCCGTTAATATTTTAAACGTAGCACTGGAAAAACTCTTAACTACTTCGATAATTGAATATTCAGTAGCGTAACTTCTTTTAGAACTGGAGCATCTTGAAGTTAGAAATATCGCATCAAGGCATAATATTTACTTACTAGCTGTTGCCCGCGACCGCACCGTAATATTAAGATAAAAACAACTACCAGCTACCCATCAGTGAAAGTCCAATCGAAATCAGCCCAGCCGTTTCAGAGATTACCCGAAACAAACGCGGCTTGCAGACAGACAGACAGACAAAAAGAATTATTTAGAAATAAAAATAACTACATCATCTTTCCGAAATCTGGAATTTTTCTTTTGATATTACAGACAGACACTCCAATTTTATTTTTAGTTCGTAATTTCCCTTTGTACCTAGTTCGAAGTATTACATAACAAATACTTGTTTACGCAATTATAAGCAAGAACTCAAGGGCTTCGTCTAGTCTTCGTATAACGTCTAATAGGGATGTATGGAAACCTGGTTCAGTATATTGACCCTTTAGTATGATATAGTACATTTGTCTGATGTGGACAACTGAAACTTTTAGAGGATTTTATTTCCTGCCTCATATTACACACGCGTCGAAGTGGGTGATAGACATCCGTGTTCCACATCCTCAGGCTAAGTGAACGCCTTGGATGGTAAGTAATCTCTCCGTAGGAAATGACAGTCGCAGGTGCGGCCCAACGCCAACTGCTAATAGCTTTTAGACAGCAAGCTTTTTCTAGTGATGTCTGTACATTATCGATATATTTTTAACTGGACCAAGCTTAGGCAACGTCTATAATGTCCATAATTATGATGATATCCCAAACTAACCTCTGTAATTTCGCTCAAATGTAGCATAGCTTAAGGATAAAAGAGCAAATTTTATATGTTTTTGAGGTTATACGAAAAGAAAAAATCTTACATTTCTTTTAACATATTTTTATATGAATGATTTGTGAAATCTTTTATGATTTTAACAAATAATAATTATCTAGAAGTTTATTTGAGTTTGAAATTGTAGTGTAATTGCATATTAATTTCAATTAGGATTACGTTCGTTTGCAAATAAATTAATATCTACTGGATTGAAACATTTTCAATCAATTATAATGCTTTAATTAATATTGGAATTGAAATGCATTGGTGTTTTACACTGATTTCAGTGCTTTGGAGAAAAATTAAATTTCAGTTCTATATTTATGTGATCGCGTGAATCTAACATATAAAAATGTTTGTTATTTCACTCTCAATTGTGCTTATTTATACTGTAATTGTAATTTTTAGTATTTATTTAAATTAGTTACTTAAACTATATAATTTTAGCATGATATACAAATCTATGCTTATCGTGTCAATTCGTATCATCAAAGACTTTTTGTAAAATTAATTTAATTTACGATATCGATATCGATAACATCATTCGTAACAACACTACATCGTTACTGAGATGACATACAATAATGGCCGCCGTGCAGCGCCATCTGCCGGCGCAGTTGAATTAGCTGCCATGTGGCCGTCTTCAGCTAAAATTGGTACATATGACGTTGAAGATTAAACTTACGTCCTCTTATGTGTTTAATAATTAATACCCAAGCGAAATTAGTCCTTGATACCTGAACATAAGACTGATACCTTAGTATGGGAGGATCTTGTTACGATATGTCGATTTTGCAAGTTAATGAGCCTACAGGTGTTCATAAGTGCTTGTAAAGCCTATTTATGGGTTGTGTACTTAATACAAGCAATTTGGTCTAAGACAAGAACACTATTATATTGTATACTAGCTGTTCCCGTGCGGCTTCGTCCGCATGAAATTATGAATATGTTATTTTATTGTTCACATTTGTCAAACTATCAAAAGCAAATGTCAAAATGTCATGACATGACATGACAAACCTTAGCAATCTTTCTTGATGTTGGCACTTATGGCCTCTTTCCCACATTAGGGTTTTTATCCATAATATTAACCACCTAAGTTTAATGGCGTAAAAATATATAGCCTAAAGCCTGACGTAAGTGTAGGGCTTTTTATTAAAAAAAAACATTATTCAAAAATATGCTGTAATTGCTGACATCTTAGGCAACAAAGATATTATACGATTCCATACGATATTACGGGCGGAGTGCCATGGTGATATTCTGATGGGTATTACTTGAATTTATTATTACATTAGTGATATTCCAGAGTTGAGGCCTCCTATAACGAGAATATAGACCTAAGTCCACTAGTTCATAGCTATCTGCATATGCGTCACCAGCCAGTGATCTAAGTTACGACTAGACTGGAAGTGGGGGACTTATTAATACGGTATTATCATATTAATCATACTCATACTAATATTATAAATGCGAAAGTTTAGATGGATAGATGGATGTTTATTAGAGTTTGTAGCCTAAACGGCTGAACGGATTTTGATGATATTTGGTGCCGGTGTTGAGGATATTCTGGAAGAACACATAGGCTACTCACTTTTATTTTTTTTCCACGCGGATGGAGTCGCGGGCGAAAGCTAGTTAGAACTTTTTTGCTATATCTATTTTGAAATAGCAACCCAACAACAACAACAACAACAACATGTTGAATTTTGTAATTTGCGCTGATTTGAAAATATAGCAAAACACTAAATAAATTGACGAGTATTTAAGATTTTAAATTCCAGCCTAACATAGCCACAGTATTATAAGCATACGAGAATAAATAATTAAAGATAAGTCATTAATATGAGAACGGTTGTAAAATATCTTAATAAAGGTTTATAAAGATGATCTCTCTAAGTCCGCCCTCAAGGGACTGAACCCATTTAGATGAAATCTTAAAACCCCTACTTTTGAAAATTACACTGACTACTAAAACAAGGTATCACATGGTACTTAATTTGAAACCGAGAAAACGTTGCTATGATTCATATAGAAAACAAAACTGTACTTTCTATGAAAGGGATAAAGCGTGCTCACAATTTAAACAAAACTATCGCACAACTGTTTAGTCACGCTTTGATTCTTATGAGCCTATATAGAGGTGCGCACAGTACTTCGATTTTTAGTGCACAAAACAGTTAAATTGACAGTAAAACAATCGACAATCGGCAATCGCACAATAGTTGTGCGATGGTTTAGTCAAGTTTGCTCCTGCTCTTAAGGTTGCATAAAATGCTTATAATGATGCAAGGTTCCTTTCTATGTTTCCAAAATTTGGTATAACTTTTAAAATACCCTTCTAAAACAGGTTTCCAATACGTTATAAAAATGAAAAGCTCCCTCCTTTTTTATTCAATTAACTTTATATCTATGAAACCAACAGATAGGGTAATAAATCCTTATCCATCGGCCGTTGTCTAGAAAACGAAAATCTGAAAGCGTCCCTCGCATAACGTCACCGATTTATCACTCCAGAAGCGCCATCTATCACTCCATTAAACTCGACGTAACGCAGCGAGAACGTATGGTAGGGGACAAGGAACATTTTCAGTCCGAGATGAAACGTGCTGGGTTACGCACGTGTCGGTAACAAAAACGCGGGAAATCGCGGAATTTATTTCGTAACTTTATAAGAATTTGAACAATGATTGGGAACGGACGTGATTGTGAATTATTAAAGAGTGTTTTTAAAATAAAATGCTAGAGAAAACTTTTTCCAGTGTTAAAAAATTTAGTGTTGCGAGTTAAAATGATTAGAAATCGATGGATTTTATTGTTTCTTTTAACACCATTAAGTTCAAGTAAGTATTATCTTGTACTAATAACTTGAAAAAAATATAGTAAGCATTTACTTTTGTTGAAACATTTTTTTTTCTTTAAATATAGTCATTTCTGTTTAATATCTTAGTAAGTTGAAATAAACATTTTCATATTAAAAAATTGTTCCTAGTAAAATATAAAATTTGTTAAGTTTTTGTTTTTTGCTGTACATAAAATGGAAAATGCATATACTTATATCTCATGATAATTTTTTTTCAAAAATTTCTTTCAAGTCAACAAATTGAATAAACCATAAGTTTTAAAAAAAATATTTTTGTATAATGTATAAACATCGTTATATTGAAAAGCTTGGGCAAAGCTCCTTTTTACGATATCGTAAACTTTCAAATATTACTGAACTAAAGATTGTTTAATTCAGAAATTAGAACGTTATGAATTCGTCTTTATCTATTTTATTTATTTAATTTTCTTTATCTATAATTAACCTCCAGTCAATTCAGCATTTATGAAATAAATCCCATAAAATAAATAAATATAATGAAAAATAAATTAACTGCATAAATGATATTCGGATGTATTAATTCGACTGATTTAATATATTTTGATATTATCGTTTTGTGGAAATTATATTATGATATTTCTACGAACTTATAATGGATGGAATGCCATCTATTTCTAGGATACATCTATGGCTAGCTTTTGGCCGCGACTCCGACCGCGTAAAATAAAAAAAAAACGAAAATAAGTATATTTGGTCTTCCAGACTATCTACACCTTTACGTCTATGTCAAATTTAATTGAGATCCGTTCAATATTTTAGGCTACAAACTCTAACAAACATCTATCCATCCATTTCGATTTTATTAGAGTTTGCCGCCTAAATGGCTAAAGGGTCTACGAAAATTCGCATAGATATAGAGCATAGACTGGGAGAACACATCGGCTACTAACTTTTTTAAATTCCACATGGACGGAGTCGCGGGTGAACGCTAGTTTATAATATTAGTAAGACAGTCGACGCAGTGTTATACCACTTGTGGGAGGTGAAATTGGTCAATTATTTGTTTAAGGTGATTGCTATAGTTTATTAAATAAAAATTGCCAGGAAACCGACCATTGTAAAGCATGCAATGATCTTAGAACAAATTCTGGTCATTAGATTTTGGTCTATTAGAATTTTCTAGAAGGCCTCGTTTGTATTTTGTTTTTTGTATTCACCATTGTCCCGTCTCACCCTCCAGGCGAAGTACAAGGGATCCCTAAATCTGAACTCCTGTACAAAGAAACAGGACGCTTGTTACTGAAGTTGTACGAAGTGTGAACGAGTATGGGATGGCGTGTAACTTTGAAACGTAACTTGAGTGTAATTGTTGAAGTTTTAACGATGTTGCAGCGTCACTCAGACTTGTTCCACTTAAAGTTGTTTGATGCGAGTAAGATAGGGGCTGTATGGTTGCGATTTTAAGTAGGAATTTAAAATCTTGAGAATTTAATAATTAAAGCATATGCTTAAAGCTCCCTACAATGTTAAAAAGAAGACTTTGATTAATCCAGAGGAAGCTTTTACCGCGCTTGGATCCTTACACATAATAACAAGAAGAAGAACAACAATAAAACAGCATAGTTATTTAATTTTTTATTATTGTTCTAAATTTAAATATTGGTCAACGATATGTAACTTTATTTGCAATTATTTTAAACGAGCTGTTGCCGGTGTTATACCACAGCCACACAGAAAACAGGCGTGAAGTGGAAGCAATTCCGCGTAGTCTGATGAGTTTGGTGCCAGAGTCCTAATTTTAGTCCCTTTCCCTTTCGACCCCTTTTTAAGAGGAAAGGATAGGAAGGAAAAGTGTTCAGCCGTTTAGGCTACAAACTCTAACAAACATCCATCCATACATCTAAACATTCGCATTTATAATATTAGTATGAAGTATCTAATATCTAGATATCTAACTGACATAATGCATTTATTTGTCTTGTTCGTTAGTAAGGAATTAAAATAAATCATTATTCGTGCTACTACGGACTTAATTCATCTCTGTTAAAAATTCATCCAGAGCTGATATACGGTTTTATGGATATATGTTTTATGTTATATAGATGGATTGTGTGAAAGAGGATATGCTTAAGAAAGGAGTGGATTCAGATATGACGGCTGATAGAGATCTAAGGAAGAGCAGCTCATACTGTGCCGACCCTCCATAATGTATAAGGGCAAGTTGATGATGAGCTGATATACGGTTTTGGAGTTACAAATTGACAAACTTTCATACAACCATGGATGGTTGTACGAAAGATGATACAGATTGATCTGTCCAAACTTTTATAACTCCAAGATCTGTTGAAAGAATTGATTGATTTTGAATTGTCTTTCGATTCTTGTTATTTCAAGGAATGTGTAGTTGTTTTTACAAACAATATAGTAACGTTTACTATATTTAAAAAGTAATTAAGTTTCTTTTCTGCAGGTGTGTTATCTTCAAATCTCATACCCGTTGATGACGGCGGAAAACAACATGAGGCAAATATGTAAGTAATTTTTTTCAATATCATTTCAATTGTATAAAAGTTATGTATTAAATAATATGTATTTACTAATCTTCTATTTATCTAGGAATACGTGTAATTTTTTGTAAATGCATTGGAAATACGTTAAAATCATATTTAACTTTGTGTCGATTTTGCGTAACACTTCGTAATACATCATAATAATGTCACAGTAATCGTAATATATTGCAGAGAAACCACACGAAAAATGAGTACTTATTACTTACTTCATAAGTATTAATCTTGCTTGAAGTTCTGTGTTCAGAACACAATACATTTGAACAATAGGTAGCGATTTATTGCATCCGCGGACCGTATTTCTCTGTTGTTATAAGTTGGAAAATGCTATTTTACAATTTGTTTCTTAGATAGGAAGGAAGCTGCTGTTGGAAATAAATAATTCATCGATTTATAGCGTTTCTGAACGTATACAATATGTATTTTATCTATATCTATACTATTATAATAAAGCGTAAACACACACTTCTTTGTTGCCTAAGATGTCAGTAATTACAACATGTTTTTGAATAATTCTTTTTTTAATAAAAAGCCCTACATTTACTTTACGCTTTAGGCTATATATTTTCACGCCGTTAAACTCAGGGGTAAATATTTTGGATATAAACCCTAATGTGGGAAAGAGACCATAAGTTGTTGCCAACATCAATGAAGCAAGGTTGCCATGGTTTGACATCAAGTCATGTCATTTTGACATTTGCAATTGATAATTTGACAAATGTGAACAATAAAATATTTTTTTTTTATAATCATAAGCGGATGAAGTCGCATTGAAACAAGCTAGTATCAGTATAAGAGCGGGAACATATCTTTGAGTAAACTATCGCACAACGGTTGTGCGACTGTCAATTGTTTTGCAGCCGATTTATATTAACTAAAAGTAGTGTGCGCACCTCAATATAAACTGATAAACAAAGCGGGACTAAACAGTTGTGCGATAGTTTAGTCAAATGTGCGTGCGTTCTAAGAAAACATTTACATGTAACCAGAGTATCTATTACGATTATGTGCGTGATGTTACGAGAATTCGTAACGTCTACGATAAAATTTGTATAACTCTGCATAAATTTAATGTTTTGTAAATAAATTGCTTAGTCCATTTCTCAATATTCAAAATGTAAAAGTCAACCCCACGTATTCATATTTAAACAAGCTTATATTAATTTATTACTCAAATATGATAACCAAAATCATTTCAGATTTTCACTTAACCAGATATTATTTCGTGTTTGATTTTCGGTTGTTGATTTTTCGGTTGATTTCATTCAATCTTTGTGATTAATATTGTATTGTTTGAAACGACCTCAAATCCACAGATATTTTCCCAATAACATACGCGATGTATTATTCTTTTGTGTTTTTTTCTTTTATTACAAAATCCACCAATCTTTTCTCTGTACATTTCGCACGTTAAAAACAATTGGTAGAATTGTTAATTCCATATTTATAAGCCCACAGCCAATACACAGTTGTAACTGTTCAGTTAAAGCGTGTTTGCAAATTAACTGTACAATTCAACTGAAGAAGTAAGAACGTCTGCAGCGGGATTTACAATTTTTAATGTAGGTAGATATTTATTGTCATGGTTATTTAACATTCTGCCTAGACAAATTAATACTGAAGATGAAGGTAGTCTGAAAAAAATTGACATCGTGACGTATAACATCAAAGTCTGCGGGTGTATTAAGTATGTAAAATCAATTATTTTATGTGTACATTTGTTCTGTTTGTATTCAATTGTCTAAATAATGTAACGTAAAGTCTTCAATTACGCTCATTATAAATAATTGTTTGCCTCGGGGGTTTTCTTACAGACTATCTGATATTGGGGAAAATGTAACGGTGTACGAAAAAATCAACGAGATTGGATATACAGAAAATAATGGTAAGAACATACCTGCATTTATTTCACTAGCTCTCACCCGCGACTCCGTCTGCGTATAAATATAATGTGTCCTCCCAGACTAACATAATCTATGCCAAATTTCATCGAGATCCATTCAGTAGTTTAGGCTACAAATTCTAACAAACAACTAAACATTCCCATTTGTGTTGAGATTATACGAAAAGATTAACATTGTTAGAAGTATATCATGCGAGAGAATATTGTTATTCTATAAGTTAACAAGAAGGAAGTTAGTTATGAATGTGAAGGTACACCGGTAGAGGTAGACCTAGAGAGATGGATGGATTGCGTGAATGGTGACATAAGAAGGGAGTGATGGCTGAGATGGCGGATGATATTTATTTGGAGGATGAAAACCCGGTGCGCCAACCATACGGGAGTAGGATAAGGCAGAGGATATGAAGTATATCATGCGAGAGAATATTGTTATTTCATAATTTAAAAGTAAATATTAAATTCAACAGATTCAACGAAAACAGGATTATTCCGATATAAGAGGAGATTGCAAATGGTTATATCACAACACTTCAGTGAAACTACAGTTACTCTTGGAGTAGACGTAAGTAATTTATTATTTAACCTTTAACAAAGTAAGACGAGCAAATTTAACACTCACGTCTTCCGTCTGCCTTCTTTTCCTATGTCCCCAAAGTGGGGCAAAGGGCGTCTACGGTACGTCGCCAGCTCGCTCTGTCCTGGGCTCTGCGTTTGGTCTCGGACCATGACAGCCCAAGATAAAAAAGAAACGATAACTGTTGTCCGACAGAACTTAAATTTTAATAGAAAATCTCATTTCTGCATATCTTTTTACCATAAAGGACATAAATTTTTATCTTAAATATTATGTTGTAATTTTAATGTGTTTTCGGAAGTTTCGGTTTCGACTGAAATACTAATTCCGTCGGATACTAAAAATAACTAACAGAAATGTAAACTATACAGACAGACTATGGACCTCCATTTGGCTCAATGACAAACCCCACTAATTTCTACATTCATATTTCATATTCATCTAATTTCCTTACTTTATACAAATTATATGACAACGAAGATTCTGAGTTAGTTATTTATAGATTTTAACATCATTAAATACATAAAATCTACAATAAAAAAATACTTTGATACACCAAAATATTATTAATTAAATAAACAAGTTAAATAACTTTCATATTGGTATTTATTTTCGTAGATAAGTCTACAATGCATAGTAAACGGACCACATCCAGCGAGATTCGTGTGGGAAAGGGATAAAGTAGTTATATCTTCGAACACAGATTCTAGGTAAGTTCAAATTAATATTGCGTTAAAGTTAATTGTATCAAATATAGATGTCAATAAAGATTAAAATGTTCAAGAAAAGTACCTTAATTATTTTGTTTCAATCTTCACAAATACATCAATATTAGTTAACCTGTTCAAATATCTTTATACTTCATTAAACTAATTTAATTGGTAAAATGAAATTGTTTTAGATATGCAATAGGACAAACTATGACGCCAGATGGCGGTGTATTAACACAACTTAACATTTCTCACATAAGAGTCGACGATGGAGGTCTCTATTCTTGTGTAGCTCATCATGGAGACGCAATAGTTTCTCATGAAGATAGAGTTAATGTTTATGGTAAGCATATTCAAATGAATTCAAAACGTTTCTTACGAGTAGAATATTTAGCAAGGAAGGGGAAATACTTTTCTCTGTGACCCCTCTATCTACTAAAACTAGGCAATGTTTCAATGTTTTAAACTCTACTTTGTTCCAGCGTAACCCTAAACTTTAATTACGCAGATAACAACAACAATTTTTAAGTTCATGCTCCTTAATTCGTTTTAATTCTGACACTAAAATTTGCTTTTAAAAATAATTATTTATGTCATTGTAACAGGTCCGCCGTACATTAGAACAATGCCACCGTTCAAGGTTCAAAGTGGACAAAGTGTAACACTTCGATGTCCATATTACGGTTACCCTATAAGGTAAATAACCAAATCATTAATGTAAAAAAATAATTAAACAAATATTAACTAGATCTATCTTTTTAGGGACATCTCATGGGAATTTAAAGGAAAGGAGATAGTCAAGGATGGTCAAAGTCATCGTTATAAAAGATTTATAAATGACACTGCATATAGTATAGAAATATTCGGAAGGAAACCTAAATTAAGAGAGAAACGGGATACAACTAGTGTAACAGCAGATGGAGTATTAAATATAGTTAAAGTTAGTAAAACTGACAATGGAGCATCATACGCCTGTATCGTCAGAAGTCCTTCTGGTGAAATGGCAAAGAGATCATTTGAATTACAAGTGGTTGAAGCACCGCAGTTAGAAGATATACTCCTAGCATCAGATTTACAAGAAGGACAAATTGTACAAATCCATTGCAATCTTAAAAGTGGTGATTCTCCTGTTTACTATTCTTGGTTGAAAGATGGTAAAAAGATACCAACACATTTAAAGGTAAGGTTAATACATCATCATCAACTTATCATGCCCATATAGAAGATCAGCATAGCATGTGCTAGTCTTCCATACATTGCTATCAGCCGTCATAGATAACGTTAATAATTTGTACTTCTTTTCAGATAGTGGAACGTAGCTTAGAAGTGTTCAGTGTTTTAATAATTAAAAATGTATCATTGGATCATTGTGGTACATACACATGTGTTGCAGCGAATCACGTAGCGAAAGTAAATAAAACTGTAAATTTGTACATAAAAGGTACGTTTCTATACAACAGTTCTGAGCTAAATTGTTGTTATTTTACTTATTTCCCATTTGTTCTGCAGTCGCTCCTAAATGGAGTGAAGAACCTCGGAATACTTCGTTACTTCTTGGCAGAAGTGGTCATGTTTCGTGTAGTGCGAACGGATATCCACAACCACAAACTCATTGGCTGAAAAAAGATGGTAAGTCAAGGAAAATTAAGAAAAAAAATCATAATAATGATTAGTGTATTACAGAAACGACCTGTCCGAATTAATATTACCGAAGGTCCAGATGAGTATGATGAAGGGGAATAATATTGAGCATTCATATATACCGTAATAGCGAGGAGTTCACTAAAATCAGGAAAAAGATAAAGGGGTATTATCTCAGAATCCCTATATTATGAATGAATGGCTGCAAAGGAAGAGGAAGACCGAAAAAAAGTATAGATGGATTGTTTGAAAGAGGATATGCTTAAGAAGGGAGTGGATTCAGATATGACGGCTGATAAAAATGTATGGAAGAGCAGCAAATACTGTGCCGACCATCCATAAGGGATAAGGGCAAGTTGATGATAATCTAAGAATCTCTATATAATTTGTTTGATTGTTTTTAGTGATATCTGACGCTTGGAGGCCAGTATTAGAAGTAGCTGGTGGTGGAGTTCTCAGTCTATCAAATGGCTCGTTAATTTTCGATGCAGTAGCGCTTTCTGACGCTGGTCTGTACACTTGTCATGTTGAAAATGGCGTCGGTGAACCGTTAAGCAAAACTGTCTGGATATCTGTTAACAGTAAGTTGTTATTTATATACCAATAACAAGAATACTGCTACTTGTAAAGTTTAACGAGACTATTACGTTTAAGACTATTTACTTCTTCGTTTCGTCGTCCCAAAGTATATTATAGTTAAAAAAAAATCCTGTCAAAACGGTGGTTTTATTTCCTCATGAAAACTTGTGTTTCCATAATCGCTTATTGTCTTCCTTTTTAAGAAAAAAGATTGATTGATTGCAAAAGATTGCGAATTCTTTAATGATTTCTTGTTTCACGTTTAATGCTAATAATGGATTTATTTTCACTGAATAATTACACTTTTTTGTCGTAGAACCTGTAACATTTGATGTAGTATCAAGGAATATGACAGCAAAGCTCGGACAACATATAGCACTAGAATGCCAGGCGAGAGGAGATGATCCTATTAGAATAATGTGGACGAG